GAGGGATGGAGGCGGGCGGCGTGACCGACTCGCTCCTGTCCGGAGCTTGCGTGTTCTTCACCCTCTGCATGTTCTCCACCGGCCTGTGAGAACGCGGCCGGGCCGGGCAGGGGCACACCAGGAAGTCAGGAGAGGGGTCCAGATGGGGCCGCAGCGCCGGGCTGCGTGCGGAGTCTGGGATCAAATTGGAGTTGGGTGGAGGAGGCCGGGATAACTGGGTGAGGCTGATCGCTTGACCGGAGGGAAAAGACCAGGGACTGAGGGCGGAGCCTGGGAGCTGTCTGGGGAGGATGACAGGCGTTGGGGCGGGGGTCTCAACTCCCCCGCAGCCTCCCTTCGCACTTGTCATGCCATGCCTGCCTTCGGGGCCGTTACAGCTCGGACATCAGGCACATGTGGATCACCCGGAGCGTGGACAGTGTCCAATTCCTGCCCTTTCTCACCACGGATGTCAAGTGAGAGGGGAAAAGGCTGCAGCGGGAAAGGCTGAGGGGGGAAGGGAGTGGGGTGAAGAGAAATCTGGAAGAGGCCCCTGGGTCCCTCTCCCACACCCACCGCCCATGGGCGAATGTCCCTCCCCTCCTCCCTGCAGCACCCTGAGCTGGCTGAGTTATGGGGCCTTGATAGGAGATGGGACCATAATCGCCGTCAACGCCGTGGGCACAGTGCTTCAGACCCTGTGTGTCTTGGTGTATCTGCACTACTGCCCTCAGAAGGTAGAAGCCCTCCCCTGGACACATGTCTCCGCCACTGCCCTTCCCTGTTGGCGAGGCAAACACTGCTTCTTAGAAGACTCCTTCAGGCTAGCCTGGCCCCTTTTCCTGGAAGACCCTTCCTGCCTTGCAATCCTTCCCCGTGAGGCCAACCTTCTGAGACACACCTGCCCCTCATTCTGTCAATGCGGGTAGCCCCGCCTAGTCTGGTGGCTCTTTGCTACCCAACAAGCTGAGGAAAAAGGATGGCCTTTTGTCTTCATAGGTCCTTCAAAGTCAGGTGCAGTGACTGAGAATGAGATAGAGCTCAGCTTCCCCACTCAGTCACACATACATGTATGAAGCTCCTACCGTGTGTACCAACCTCAGAAAGGCAGGATTCCCTAGAAAGCTACAGTATTGTGGGTGGATTATAGACATGTGCTCAAGTCACTGGTGGGAAAGAAGTCGTGGAAAGTACAGTTCCAGAGGCTTAACAAAGTTGGCCTCCTCACTGGGGCACGGGAGGGAAGCAGGAGGAATTCCAGCAGAGGCCAAGGAGAACTCAGCACATCTAGAAGTAAGGCCACTCTCTCCCCTACAGCGTGTAGTGCTCCCTCAGACTGCAGCCACCCTGGTTGTCTTTCTCCTGGCTTTTGTCTACTTTTGGTTCCTGGTGCCGGAGGAGGACCAGCTTCAGCAGCTGGGCCTCTTTTGCTGTATCCTCACCATCTGTATGTACCTCTCACCAATGGCTGATTTGGTGAGTCTGGTGTCCAGGGAGGTGGGGTAGATAAGAATCAGGCTTCCATTGCCAGAAGACTAGTTTACACTCCAGGGTGAGGGAAGATCTGAATCCTGGAAGGAGACAGGGAATAGAGGTGGGTGAGTGGGAGGTAAGAGGGATACACTGGCTAACAATAGATCAGAAACGATAATGATCCCATTTTCTGATAAAATTCTTGAGGTGGGAATGTGACTGTCTGGGCTAGGAGTGTCTTTCAACCTTTCCCACAGGTCAAGATCATTCAGACTAAATCAACCCAACGCCTCTCCTTCTCACTCACCATTGCCTCTCTCTTCTCCTCTGCCTGCTGGACCCTCTATGGGTTTCAACACAGAGACCCCTACATCATGGTAAGCAGAACAGGGATAGGGGGACAGTTGTGCAAGGTGGAAAATCAGCTCCTCTCCTCATAGCAGCTATGTGATTTCAGGTGCCCAACCTTCCAGGAATGTTCACAAGCTGCATTCGACTCTGGCTTTTCTGGAAGTATCCCAAGGAGAAAGATAGGAACTATCAGCTCCTGTAAACCTGAGGGAGCTCACCTGACCACTGGGCACCATAATGCCAACCTTTTACCAAAGAGTTCCTCATTTCAGCTGTCCCTGATGACTAGCTTCACATGTTTTAAGAGACAACTTTGAGAACTGAGGGACCAGATTTATTTACAAGATTGGGTGGGAACTAAGAGATGAATCACTTTTATTTTTTAGAGATTATATTTTTTATTTTTGGAGGTTGGGGTGAAATATTTAGAATGTGCCTTAAAATAAAATATTCCGTTATCCCTACGCACCACGGCTCATTTTCTATTCAATGATTCTTAACCTGTCCTGTTCAGTGAAAGACAGAGGTGCACTGCCCCATCCAGATATTATGGGCTGGTAAGGTTGGCTCAGAAAAGGTATCTGAAAGAACAGAAGAAAACCTTAAAAAGAGCAGGGCTTGTATATTGTGAAGAATGAAAGTTAGGTTTCAGAGCAATGAGATCACAGGTGCAGCCTGGGAGATCTTGAGTGGAATCTTTGCCTCCTTTGGAGCACAAACGAGGAACACCGGCAGCAAGCAAAGACAGGTGGTGGCCTCAGGACAGTGGTTCTTCTTGACACCGGCACAGAAAACCTCAGTTCCCATCTCCAAACTCAAAGTAAGCAAAGTTAGAAAATAAACTCGCTCTTTAATGAGGCTGGGAGAGCGGTCCCGTCGGCTGGGGGCGGGATGGGGTTAAGGCGTCAGAAGCGCATCCCCCTGCGGGTTAAGTCGGCTCGCGCCTCCAGAATCTGGCTCTGCAGCTCGCGGGCGGCGTCCTCGCAGTCGTGGAAAGTGGCCACGCGATAGCCCACAGTGCCCAGGGCATAGCAGCCGGCCGACACCAGCAAGTAGGCGGGCAGTGGCCACAGGACCTCCCGGTATGCCGAGGGCAGCTCCAGACCCAGAGCTCCCATGGTCAGGGCCGCCCAGGTGGAGCCCAGGAGCGCTAGTCCCCAAAGCCATTGGGCTAATTTCGTCATGGTCACTGCGGGAAAAGAAAGCAAATTTCAGGTGTCCCTTCCACTCCGCTACTCCCGCTTCATCGGAGGCCCATTCCCTGTCCTCCTCCCTCCCCCCCTAGCCTCCACGCCACTCCTTCGCCACTCTCAACCTTCCCATGAAGCCCTAAACCTCCACCTACCTAAGCACCCGGCTTCTCCCCTTCCGCGCGCGCGGCTCCACCAGCAGCAGCCGGAAGCCTTCTATCGCGCGTGCTCCGCCTCCGCGCGGCCTTCTGGGAGTCGTAGTCCGCGCGGTGGCTCCGAAGGCTCCCACCGCTGTCGTTATCCAGTCAGGTTTCAGTGGATTGTGCTCCACAAACCGCGACCTGGGTCGCCAGGGGATGCAGTGCTGCTTCTTCCACCGTGGGACCTAGCTCCAGGCTGCCGTGGGGTTAGAAAGCCTGAGCACACCCTTAATCCTTGCAACAATGTAGAAATGTGATATTGTTCCTCTTAAATTCACTTCTGCACAGAAGCCCCATTCATTCTTTCATTTATTCCTTTAAAATTTTTTTTTCTTTATTTTTGCGTAAAGGAACTGGGGTGTAGGATGGAGGAGCGGGGGGAGGGGGACTTTTATTCATTCTTTCACTGGAACCTTTCTTCAGCGCCATGACAGAAATCGAGTTGTCAAGACACAGTCACTCCTGAGGTGGATGACAAGGGCAGAAGTCTGGAAAGAAAGATGCTTTAACAAAAACCATGATGCCTTGGATGGTGTTAGAACAGAAGCGGCCATCTTTTTATAAGGAAACGCAGGGAAGCAATCAATGCAGCTAGAAGTTAGGGGATGAAGGGCTCCCGGAAGGTGTCTTTAAGGAAGTAATTTAAAAAAAAAAAAAGTGGAACAGAGGAATTACCTGATATGTTTGACAGGTGTATACTACTTTCAAAAAAGTTTCAAAGTAGTTGGGGGTGGAGGGTGATGTGTATATATAAAACCAAATGAAAGAAAAGGTCAGGCAATTATCAACTTCAGGAAAAACAAAGTTATACAAGAAAGGAAAGGAAATTGATAAAAGCCAGTTGATAAAGACCACTAGGAACATAAATTGTTAGCAAGAGGCCTATTAACTTGCTGCAAGAGAACTCAAACACCCGGAACTGTTGGGCGGCTCATCAAACAAAGGAAAAAACAGGGTCATTACAGGATAAGGGAAAGGGTTGAGTTTGGGTCATATTTAAATGAAGCAGTGTTTTGATAGGCTCAAGGTAAGCTCAGAGGTAAGTGAAAGGTAGAATCAACAACAAGCCTGGGCTAGGAAGTCTGCAGAGGTCCACTTAGAAACTACAAAATTAAGATAATTAATTGTAGATAATTAGGTAATAGATAACTACATAATTAAGATAAATGTAGAATGTTGTGTTCAAAACCCCATTATCTGAAGCTTTGCACCTAGTTTGGAAACCTAGACTGTTCTCTGTGTCAACATAATTGACATGACTCAAGCCTCCAGGCAAGAGTGGGATATTCTATTCTCACTGATTTCAATAGCAAAGTTGTGGCTGTCTGTGATTTTAAATAATAGAATTCCTAGCCCACATGTCCTTGATGTTAATTAAAAGCCGTTTTTAAAGATTCACAGTCTTGGTACAAACACTACATAACTCAGTGGTGAAGAATATTTTCACAGTCATAATATTGTAAACACTGAATACTGACTGATTTAGCTAAAAATTGAAGTGTATTTGAGTTGAGAGAGTGGGACAAGGGGTTACATTAGGAGAGTCAGAACTAGAGAATAACCTCTTATCTTCCAGCGCAGGCATCAATCGATTATATCTAAAATAGAAAAACAAAATAATAATATGAGACTGTTGGGGCCTCCCTGGTAGCACAAGGGGTTAACTCAGCACTATGAAGCTCTGGCAGCCACTGCAGCAGGAGTTGGATCCTGGCCAGGGAGCTGGCCCACATGGCAGGGCAGACCTCTCCTGGCTCACAAGCTGCTTTCCCCCCACCCGCCTCAGCAGTGTATTTCAGTGGATCTGTCTGTTCTGCTCCCCCTTCTGTTTCTGGTGAACACTCTCACCACCACCCCCACCCCTCTGGCCTACAGTCAGCTCTTGTATGCATGAATAAATCTTTTAAAAATAATATGAGGCCCTCCCTGGTGGCGCAGCGAGTTAAAGCATAGCACTAAGAAGCTTAAGCCACTTCGGCATGAGTTCGATCCCCACCTGCCCCGGAGGAGACCACATGGCGTGGCAGACCTCTCCTGACCCTCCCGCTGCTCCCCTCAGCAGTGTACTTCGTCGATCTGCCTGTTCTGCACCCCACTCTGTCCCTGTCCCTCTCACTCTCTGCATCTCTGGCCTTGTATCCCAGTTCTGTATGAATAAATAAATAAATCTTTAAAAAAAATAATATGAAAAAAATAAAAATAATATGAGACTGTTACTTAGAATTAGAGAGGTAAGTACCAAAAGAAGCAGCCAAAATACTTCTAGTAGCTCATGGAAGAGTGTATGAGGCGGGAGAAGAGGGGCAGCATGAAATTGAGCAAGGGATTGTCCTTTTCTATTAAATTCCTCATAGAATGAGTTGACTTCTTAAACGATGCAAATTTAAGACAAAATATTGCTTTACTTTTTTTTAACTTTACTTTTTAATGTTTATTAAAGATTTATTTATTCATGCTTACAAGAACTGGGGTATGTGTAGGCCAGAGGTGCAGGGAGTGAGAGGACTCACCAGACAAAAAGCAGGGAGCAGAACAGTCAGAATACACTGCTGGGGGGGGGCAGCAGGTGAGGCAAGTGAGATCTGCTGCTCCACGTAGCTCAGTTCCCTGGTTGGCCAGTATCAGGATGGAACTCATGCTGCAGTGGCTGTGGATAGCTTGATAGTGCTGTCCTTAACTCTCCACCAACAGGCAGGCCCCTAGACAAAATAATATTACTTTAAGCCTGCTGTATTCAAAGCCCCGTTTCCCCTCAAATCCACCGCTGGCACAGTCAAGACCTCACTGGTCAAAATGACTTTCGGATATTGGCACAATGCAGGGGCTAGGCGTCGGACATTTTATTTATTTATTTTTATTTTATTCATTTTTTTTTAATTTACCACATATCTAGCCTTGAAAGACTGCCTCTCCCAAGAAAAATGTGAGGGGGAAGCTAATAAGGGGCTTGCCCCAACACCCATAGGCCAGATAATAAACTATAACATTGTAGTAATAATCAGCAAAGAATACATATTCATTGAGAGGCTATTATGTGTCTCTGTGTCGTGTATGTCAGGCATAATAGGTGGCTATTACGCCCTGTGTGATATTGACATGTCTAATTTTCATGTCATGCTGTGGTAGGTGTTTTCATATCCCCATGAGTGAATGGGGAAATCCAAACAGAGAGATAGTAAAGGTAAGTGACTTGCCCGAGGTTGTGCAGATAGTAAGCATAGCAGCCCGTCCATCCCACTCAAAGCTATGTAACCTCACTCTTCTGGGTTACTGGCACAGGAATGGGCAAGGCAGGGCAGATAGAGATCATTGAGCAGCCGACATTCATTGATTGATTTCTCTGTGCCAGACACCATGATGAGCACTTTATGTACATCATCTCATTCAATCTTCACAGCCACCATAGGAAGCAGGTACTATTATTATCTCCATTTCACAAATAAGGACACTGAGGCACACCCCAGATGACCTGGCTTCAGAGACTGCAAACTTGGCCACAAGAATATTGTACCTCCCTCCCTAGATCAATGGATCAGGATGAAAGGTGAAGAAACAGATCAAACCTATACCAATTCCACAGAGGACACAGGTGGCATCTCTAGTGAGTGATGAAGCATGGATTGTTGGGAGTTTTTGTGTTTTAAATTTTATTTATTTTGCAAAGAAGAACTGGAGTGTAGGCCAGAGGTGCTGGGAGGGTGAAAGGATTCACCAGAGACAGAATGGGGTGGGGGGGAAGAATGGACCAATTTACTGAAATAATGCTGTTAAGGAGAGCAGTGGGTGAGACAGGAGTGGCCCTGTGTGGGTCAGCTCCCTGGCGACAGCCTTGATAGTGCTCAGACTTAATCCCTAGGCCACCAGGGAGTGGGGAAAGCATGGATTGTTTGAAAACTATTTGCAACTAGCTTGCCATTTAAAAGAGTAACTTCAGTTACATTTGACCTCACACTTTATTCTAAGTTATTTCCCCTTGCATTAAAAAAAAATTAATGTGAGGGTGAAAGCCACAAGCTGCTGTGGATGCATGTTTCTCTCATGTTCCATGTTCAGAGCCAGCTGGCAGGGACCTTCACCACCTTCCTCCTCTGAGCTAGAAGGCACTTAGCATGATGAGCCGCAGGTTTGTGGGTGCCCCACCTGGCCTGCCCAGGAGTCTGGGCAGTGAAACAAACACATGGCCAGTCTATGAAAGGGCAGGACTTCTATAAATATAAGATGAGAGACAGGAGGAAGGACACGTGAGCTTTTGATAGTCTCCAGAGAAATTAACCCAGCTTTCCTGGCCAGGAAATAAAACTCCTGAGACAACTCTATCTTTGCCAGCTTTTACCTTAGACAGCACTAGACCAAAAAAACCTGCAGATTTTTATGCCCTAACTCCTTTCTTTTTGGTCTTTTTGCAGATCTTCGCCCTCTGCCACCACAGCAGGACAGAGTACAGGGCAGCTTGAGGATAAAAGTTGAGGTTTTCCAGAGGTACCCATTCTGCCACCACATCTGCTCCCCCACCCCACACAGGAAGGAATAAAAATGGCTTCTTGGGCCTCCCTGCTGGCCTAGGGGTTAAGTGTCAGTGCTATCACTGCTGTGGTTTGAGTGCCATCCCTGGCCAGGGAGCTGACCCACCAATGGTCCCTCCTGCTGCTCCCCTCAGCAGGATATTTCAGTGAATCCACCTGTTCTTCTCCCCACTCTGTCTCTGGTGAATTCTCTCACCTCCCACATCTTTGACCTGCACCCTAGTTCTTATATGCAAAAATAAATAAAGTTTAAAAAATTAAATATTGATAGCTTCTCTGAAAAACAGGGGGGCAGTGTTTAGAGCTTACTTGTCCTGGTATTGGGGTCCTGGCTCCTTCCTTTACTCAGCTATGTACCTTGGACAAGTAATTTAACCTCTCTGAGACTCAGTTTTCTCAGACAACAATGGAACCAATCATTTATCTTCCCAGATGGGACTGATCTCAAGATGAAAGGAGATAGTGTTGGCTGGATGCTTCGAAAATGTGGGGCATCTGGGAAGCATGTGCTGGGTGTTAGCGCTGTTGTGAATAGCTGTC